ATGCATTTTCTTTCATAAAAGGCATCATAAGGAGTCATACGAATATTAGTCTGGAAGCTATTATTGTGGGCAAATTTTATCAGAGAAATTTGCATTTTCAGTTTTCACTGAAATCGAGCACACAAAGTGTGAGTAGATCTTCAGATATTTGGATCGTTCTTTCTGATAGAGTTAATATGGACAAATACATTGTTATCTTAGTGAATCACTCAACAAATCTCTTATAATATTCGACCTACAAAACTCTAGACTTCTATAATTGTGGTTGGGTCGGACTAACTAGTGATTGCTTTAACCTTGTTCTAATCCACTAAGATACCCTCACTGCTGATCACATGCCACAAGAATGTTATGCTTCTCAATCAGAATTCATACTTTGATAACTTAGCATACAAGTCAATATCTGCAAAACTATGCAAATATGGCTTGCATGATGAGCTTCATCAGTGGAATAATTAGAATGTAATCAATGAGGACAATTATGAATCTATTTAAAATTGGTTTAAGGATTCTATTCATAAGAACCGTAAAGATTGTAGGCGCATTTGATAACCCAAAAGGTATCACCACAAACTCATAATATGCCCCTATCTGATATTGAAAGCTATCTTTGTTATGCATTTTCTTTAATTCTTAGTTGATGATATTCTAACTACATTTCAATCTCTGAAAATACAGAAGCCTCTTCCAATTGATAAAAAAGGTCATCAAGCCTTGATGATGGGTACTTGTTTTTTATTATAAACTTGTTTAATTCTCAATTTTCAATGCATAACTTTATACTTTCATCTTTCTTCTTAACAAAAAGTAAATTATTTGGCCCAATAAATCTTTTCTCTGATAGGTTCTACAACTGACTCTTGAGTTGCTGTAGCTCCCTGATTGTCATATGTATGTTGCCTTTGCTACTAGTTTTGCACCTTGTATCAAATCAATGGTGAAATCTCTCTCTTTTTGGAGGCAAATGTGGCAATTATTTAAGGAAAGTTTTGGTTATTCCTTTTTACTGATATATCCCCCGGCCTCTTTGTTTCTTTTTTAGTGCCAACTTGGTACCATTTTACTAACATTTTGAAAACCTTCAAACTCGATATCATCATAGAGAAGATTCATCTATTTCTCATAAGTTTGAATTCTTCTTCTCCCGGGATGTTGAAGCTGACTATCTTTTTAGAGCAATTTATAGTTACAAAATAATTGGATATACAAACCATTCCTAGGATCAATTCGAATTCATTTAGTGGTAACATGATCAAATTCACCTTCAAACTTATATCACAAATAATAATATTCATACAACTTTTATCATCCATTATGTGAAACCATTAGACAAAGTGACGGAAAATAATTTAGGCAGCTTTAAAATATTTTGTCCCTCAGTTCTCATAAATTCTTCAGAGATAAAGGAATATGATGCCCAAGTATCAAGTAAAATTCGGATCAATTTATTTTGAATAGATATAAAACTTATAATAGAAAAAATATATAAAAATATTGTATAAAATTAAAGATTTGATGGATATATTGAAAAAAAAATACCCTCAATAACTTTAGGTGAGTCTTTTGCTTTCGGCTGAGTCGGTGCATAGACTTGTGGCTTCTCTCCTTTGCGGGTTTGACTCTATGCTGGAAGTAATCTTCACGACTCTGTCTGCCTCTGTCTGCCAAAACTCCTCTAGGGAAGGGGAGCACTGGCTCTTGTATCTATAGAGGGCCTCTGACCCAAGGTAGGACATGAATTTGCCATGTGTCCTAGCCCCTCAATGCGTCTTTTCACACTTAGCATAACTAGTCACAGTGCTACTGGATTTAGGCATCTTCAAGCTGCACTGGTCAAAGTGGATGGCATGCCCAGATTTGGAGTTCTTATTGCCCTTTTTCTTTTGAAAATTTCTATGCCTCTGTCTAGCTAGTAATTCAATCTTTTTCTTCCTTGATCTTTCTACCAAGAATGAATAATCTTCAATGCTCAAAGGAATTAGCAACTATCTAATGACATCCTTCAATCTATATGAAAAATGGTGACACTTTTTTTTGCATTGGAGATTAGTTGTGCATATCTGGACAACATCATGAACTCAGTTTTTTATTGCATAATAGATCACCTTGCACCAGCCTGATGAATCTGTTCCGCATCTGCCTCCCGGCTGAAAGAGGAACTCTCCAATTGCCGAAGGTCTTCGCAAAATCATCCTACTAGATCAAGTTGATGTGTTGTCCCCTAAATTTCTCTTGTAGCTGCGCTTGCCATCACCTCCTTGTTTCTTCCTCGAAAGCGAAGGTAGACAATGTAACTTTTCTCCTGAAGGCAGGACATGCAATCAATTTTTTTTTTTTCATTTCTCATTAGCTAGTTCTCATCTACCCTCCTATTCCTAAAAAGAGTGATAGCCTCATATCCTGGAATAGCTTCAGATACTTAAACATCAATGTTGTCTTACTATCATCGGCTTAGGTCTGAGAAATTTGAATCAAGTGTGTCGCTACAACCATCATCTGAGTAAATATGTTCATAAGGACACTAACGCCACTTGTTGGGGGATCAGTAAGCGTTGTTAGAGTCACTATTGTTTTTCAGCAGCCTCGTCTCCCCAGTATTGCCATCTATCTTCTGATTTATATCCATTGCCCTTGAGATATCAAAATTTTATAATTATTTCAATAATTATTAGAATTGCTATATAAGTTTCTTAATATCATGTAATGTTTTTTTAATGAATCTTTTAATATGATGATCTTTTTATCGTCATATACTTGAGCTTTGATACCACTTTTGTCATGACCTGACCTAAGAGCTTAAAACACCAAGGCTGAAACAAACAGTCGGGCGAAGGGATGTGACTATCTAAACATTTTCATTTATTAAACAAAATCATCCAATATATAAAGGGTCATTCTATCACATAAATTTAAACTACAAACATTCGAACAAATTTAAAATTATTACAACCGCAAGAAAAATTAAAAAGTTGAACTATAGTACCTATCTCTCTGAGCTCATTGACCTCAGTACAAATGCTCTCTAGGATCTATTTGTTCTGAATTTTTGTAAAAAACATTAGTAGCTATAGATATGAGTTAAACTATTCAATGGATAAATATTTATAAATTATAGTATTTTTTATTTTAAAAATATTTTGTAAAAACAAAGCAAACAGTAAAAAGATCGTAAGCAGTAAAAAAGACGTAGTATATAAATCAATTTTGTTTGGTTACTTTTTTTTTTCATTTCAATTACAATAACCGTCAGTGAGATTGACTATATAAATGTTTACTAAAAATATATGTTTAGCCTTTTCCAAAACACACCAAAAAGGTAGGCAACCTTTTCATTTTCCTTTTCATATTATGTGTATAGGACATTGCATTCTCTACTAGTGTCATCTATGAGTTACTCCACAAATACATGCATATATCATATTTTATTTATTTCTTTATTTGATTAAAAAAAGTTTGAATCATGCATTTTTAAAAGAAAGTTCTCAAAATAGTAAAAATAATTTCAATTAATTTCATAAATAAAAAAAAATTATTGTAAAATTTAAATATATTTACTTACCTCTTCAGTGCGGTCGATTGTTCTTTTTTTAGTCAAACTATTTCTTTGATACGTCTATATTAACAAATTTGAATTACTTGGCTTCTATTTATTTTTATCCTTCTTTTTGTTTAATTCTAATCTCACTTTTCAAATTCATTGGCTAGTTCTTATTTTATATAAAAATATATATTGTGCCTCAGATATCAATAGATCCCAATAAAATCAATTAACTATCAAGTTTTTTTATTAAGTAGCTTTCCTAAGCCTCTTTTGGCATGCTTGAAGCCTCTTTTGGCATGCTTGAATTAGAAGCAACATAATTTGGCTTTTAAAGATAGGGTTCTTATATTTGAACTTAAACCTTACAAAATTAGTTAAAGAAATAGTAATTTAATATTGAAACTTCATACCTGAAATTTATCTCCCACAATAAAGACTTCTCTATGGATTCAGCTTTTTGTCAAAAATTTAAAACATGGTCTTACACAATTCTAGAATTTCTAAATTTTTTTCGCATATTTTAAAATACAAAAACCCTAAAGTTCATATTAAATTTCTTACTTATGAATGAAATTCACACGATTGTCGTCGACTTAGCTGGAAAGATATTTGAAACACTATTTGCTAGGATGTTTGAAGAAGAACATGTAAACTTTGTAAACGAAGAGATGCAATAATATCAATTAGAGGATTTTTCTCTGAAGTCCTGAATATACATTTCATATCATATCCAAATATCACTTGCAAAAAAATTAAAATAAAGAGTTTTCAAATGATCTTTGACATGGTAAGCCTTACATTTTGAAACATAAAAGCTTGTTTCCTAATCAAACAAAACCAAGAGAATATACATACATACATACATACATACATACATACATACATACATACATACATACATACATACATACATACATACATACATACATACATACATACATACATACATACATACATACATACATACATACATACATACATACATACATACATACATACATACATACATACATACATACATACATACATACATACATACATACATACATACATACATACATACATACATATATATATATATATATAATGTAAGTCGTCCAAAGGAACACTCATTTTTGTGCTAAGGTCTGTTTTCTCATGCACTCGCTATGTGCCACCTGACTATTGTTTGTAGTTAAATCATAAGTCATGCTGTCACCTGACTATTGTTTGTGGTTAAACATTTATCATTAGCTCTTTTCAATTAAGTTGTTGCTTCATTCTCTAATTATTTTTACAGGAATTGGTAGAATACACTTATAATGTCCTATCGGAAGAAAGCAGAACTCAACTTTGCTTAATGTAGTTCTTCGGTGGATTAGACCTTGAAAACCATGATAAATTCTCACTAATTTAATGATAAGCACTGCTGTAAATGCAAGCTTTGGACTTTTAATGGTCATTTGCACTGTCATGGCAGGATGGCCGTATCCATGCACTGTATTCCACACCTTCAATTTATACCGATGCAAAATATGCTTCCAATGAAGCTTGGCCATTGAAAACAGACGACTATTTCCCGTAAGCTATCTATCCAACTACATATATATATATATATATATATATATA